GCAGGCTCGTATCCTACGGGGAACTTAGTAAAGGTGGATTGGCTTCTGAAATGTTGAGCTAGTACTCTCCGCACTCCTGAGGCTCTTAGCGCCCAAACATGTCTTTTTAAATGAGACGAGCCTGACCTTATCTTGATCACATATTTCAACATATTGTTTTGATTCGTTAATAACTGTATCTGTCCTTTCACTCATGTGTATTATAATTAGAGGGGTCTCGGACAGCACCGTTCAGTGACTCCCCTTTTCACTGATTTGCTACTTCCGTCTCCGCCCTTTAACTCATGTATTTCATAACCTTCCTCTTACGACCTTGTCGTGTCCTTTGCGCCTCACGAAAGTTTTAGCCAAGTTCATATCTCAATGTTTATCTTTCTCTTATTCCCGACTTTCTGTCTCCATTATGTGTTTAACCGTTCTTAGTCATGAGCCAAAGGTTATCAGTTCTGAGTCATATTGGTAATCGAAATACGGAATCTGCTGTAATTCTCATACTGCTTTAGGGATGCATTTTCACCTTATAACATCCCTCCCCTTGTGGACAAGAGCTGCCACACAGCTCGGATGAATAAAACATGAGTTCCAGTCAGATACGTTCAAAGTTAAACACAATGTATACTATCGAAGCAAAACAGGATCGGTAATTGCTGATAGAAAATGATAACCACTTTCAAATTTTTGAAATATTCTGGAAAACCGTAGATACTTTGTATGAAAAAGACTGTCATGCCAAAGAATGATAAAATGATCCCATGTTACTTCGGGTAAATCCACAAAGCATATACATCAGACACATATTATTATTAAATGGATTGCAGAACACTTCATTAAAGATCAATCTTGAATATTAAAATGTCAGCCGCTATGGTCAAATATGGCACCACCATCTCACAAAACGTTCTACAAGTCTCTGGTCCGATGGAATATACTGGCTCTGGTCGACTTGAAAAGTCACAGTCAAATTCTGATTGGTTCCTCGGTTTTACGCTGAACACTGTTAATGTCCGAACACACGTCCTGGGCGTAGCTCACAGCAGAGGTCTTTGCTTAGGCCTCGAAGTGAAAGAGATGAAATGTTCTGCACACTGCGAGAGTGAGCACTGATGGTTCGGGCTGACAATGGTGATGTTTGCGTGGGGAAACACTGTAGAGGTCCACTGGGGAACGCTGAACGCCAATGTTGAACCTTCGTGTGGGCGGTGTGGATGTTCAGCGCCGTATTCTCGCACCACAACGTTCGTCAGTATCAGTCAGGTTAGAGCCAGATAATAGATGTAACGTGGACCAGATAACTGCGGGGACGAGCTTATCTGTTCTCCCGTCCGAATGGGGTCCGGCCAGTAATCTATAACACTCCTGGAAACGAGTGTTAAACCACGACAAATACTTGTATTATAATATACATTGGATACGACAGTAGTACATGTGAAAACATGACGCGCTCAAATAAATGTCAACCTGTGTACAGATCACAGTAGACAATAACAGCATTCTTCACTGCTGACTGCGTGTTGAATAACACTGGAATCCAATATGTAGCATGGTTAGTCCCTCAATACCTCTGTAACATGCATGGCATCAATAAATACGGATGAAATGTCATATACACCATGAATGATATCTGTTATACATATAATAGGTTACAAAAGTTAACATCTATTTGACACAACGTTCAGTAAATGCTTTGCAGTTAAAAAGACAAGAACGAACAACATATTAGATACATGTGATGGACTGAGAGCATACCTTGAAACACGGATACAAATCGACTATAGAACAAGAATTGTTTTGTGTTTCCATTTCTAAACATAGATATATTGATACAATTAACGACTAATAATTAAGATTTATGACAACATTCATTCAGTATGAGACAATTTAGTACAATAACAATGTAAACAATTTATTTCCCGCAACCCGTGAAAAAGATTCGGGTTATAGCATTATTTTGTGAAGAATTCTAGACTGAAGAAAATATGAACAAAGAGAAACCCGATTGATGATCTACAAGAAACTAGTTTTCAAAGAGGAGGTAAAGAAGAAACAATATGTCTTCTAAGGAAGGCATGTCAGAATCTGTTGACCAAGACGAGACAGCGGATAAGCAGCCTGAACGGTCTGTTGAGGCCGGCGCTGCTCGCGCTGAGGATTTTGCGTCGTGGCAGGTATGAATCGTGTCGGAGTGGCTCTGAGGAAGAGGACCGGCACCCAAAGACTGAGCAACAGTATTGGGTCGGCGCACTCTCAAATGTCTCGAAGACATGTGTCCACCGTTAACGGAAAGAGGGGCATTTGGGGCCGACACTGAAACGCGACCACCAGTATAGGGGGTGCCACAAGCGCGACAATAAACATCCGGGCCAGACAAAGACCAACGGGGCATAGTCCGGAAGCGACGCGACACTTCCCATGAATTGTTGCAAAACAACAAGGGAGGGGCTGAACCAATGGAATTTCCGTATCCCTAATTGCAGCCATTACACATGACACAATGCGACTGTTTCAGCCATCGTTCATACCTATCCCTCGTCTGTTCCACCACCGCAGATACTCGAGGGGCATTGAAGGCTACCGCACTCCGAAGAGTTGCAGCAAAATTAGACACTTAGGAAGCCGAATTGAATCTCCAAATAATCAATTAGATTGGCAAAAGCCGTTTGGACAGATTGGTAGCGTTTCGCTGGCACTCCATAATCCACGTGTCCATGTTACATTGAAACGGATTTTATGCGGGACAAGGCCGCTTAGTACGCATGCCACAAAAGATTGGACGCACGGAAATACTCTGTGAGGATTGTCACCCGTTCCAACATGACATCATCCATTATCGCTAACCTAATCCAAGCAAGGCAGCAAACCTGCCATAAGGCCAGGTAAATACCACCACGTGCCAAAAGGGGAGGGACTCAGCGCATCTCGACAAAAATAGTTGTCCAATTCCTTCATGACATCACCAATCACTCTGACCTTATTAAATGCCAACCATTGAAAAGGTTTGCGTCATTGAATGATTGCATGATGAAAGGAATAGCTAAAGGAAATAGAACAGAGAAAATACAGTTAGACTGAATAAAGAATTTGACTGGATGTACAATAACCAAGAAGAAAAATTGAGAATAAGCCAAGTAGTCGATACAAATTTCCCAAGAGAAATGTGGCGCAATAGAGATGAAAGAAAAGTGTTTACCTAATATGAACCGAAGTCCGATGCTTGAGAAGCGGGGCCAAACGAGTTATGATCATGGTCTTATATACCCATGGGGAAGGGTAATGATTTGACAAATTGTGTCAACAGTTGCAATCACCCTTTCGCGCATGAGCCGAAGTGTTTCAAGACGTTTACATGATTACAGGCATCTGGGCAAAGATAACGGTTGAAGTCATCTGCACACTACACCCAGCTGCGACCGCTTATCTTCGCAAACCGGCGGAGAAACAATTAAGACTGGTCAAGTGCCAAATGATAACTTGGTCCAGCCGTATGACTCACGTGACCGCAAAGGAAAGGCAACTCCGCAATGTTGTAACACCATAAACACAATCTTGTAGTAGTTGGAAGCGAATCGTTTTTATTGGAAACGCTTGTAACCAACCGATATAATTTTCCTAGAAACGTAGATAGATTGAGTTGGTGTGTTTGAACTGTAAGTTAGTGAACTATCAAACAGTAGGTATTATGTAAAGAAAACACGCTTGAATACGAAAGCTAGTCAAAGCATTTGCAGCTGACAACGTGAGGAGGTCAAGAGGGCAAAGATAAAATTGTGAGACAATAATCTTCACGACAAGCAAATGAATTCGTCAAATGTAAAACTAAGGACGTAACTCGATCTATTGTACTTTTTTGCTTTTGCGAAGAAGTAAAACAAACACCAAAAATACTGTGGATATGATCAGGAAAACATCCATTGAAATAGTTGATTTAATCAAAGACATAAACGAAGGTTGGGGATAGTTCGAGGTGGTTGTTTTGCATGCGTTTCCAGTTTGTCAAAACCATTAGTCAGGGGAACCTTGCTGTAAGTAACGTTAATGCAAGAAATAAGGTCGTGAACCCTCAACCATAAATATAGAACCATTATTAAATAACAAGAGGTACAAACCTGCGGCAAAATCCATACGTTAAATGATATGCGGGTTATTTACGGACCCGTCTAAAGCAGAGGTGATGGAAGGAATCCATCCAACCATCTTCAACCAAATTATCCGAAATCACTTGTGCCTTTTCAGTCGTTGGGAAATAAGGCAAATCAACTTGAAACTTTTGTCCTTTTCATCGTGATCGAAAATGTGGCAGATTCAACTTTGTATTGTATATAGTTGTAAATATAATAAACATGTGAATCTTTTAAAGTTGTGTGTCATTATGATGAGATATACAATCTCATTAAATAACCCAAGTCTAATCATTTTATCAATAATTTTATATTCAATATTTTATATCACACCTTTAGCCCTTCTAAACATCAATCTAATCTTAAATGTAATCTATTTCAGCAAAACTCATTTGCACTGCATGCTTTTCTCCCTGCAATCCCTTCTAAAGCTTGTCCCTTGCTCAGGCTAGTGTTTAATTTCTATTGTTCTCTGTTCAGCCAAGCGTATAAGGTATTAGGTATTTAAAGGTTAATTTCATCTAGTCTCTTGGTCAGTATCTTATGTGGTTGTCATCACGCATGTTGCGGTTTAGTCTCTAGGATCGAGATCATGGTGATCTGGACTGTGTTTTTCCCATGTATATAAGGTTAGTAATCTCTAATCTTGTGTATATATTTATTGTGATTTTGTGTGTGATAGTTGATGGTTATATTGGCTATAGTTTAAAGTATGTTCAATCTCAGTATCCACTTTCTACTATGTGTAAATATTTTATGTGGTGGTAACTCACAGTATAGTGAGTTATGACATTGTTATTAGTGTAGGTTGTAACTCGCATTAGAGTGAGTTATCATACTGTTTTCATAGTTTAAGTTTTGACTCACAGAACAGTGAGTTGTGTAAGTGTTATATTATATATTTGTAGCATTACATATAATCATTAATTATATTTCATCTAAGTATAATATTTAGCAATAATCTTATTTTTCATATTCCTATCACATTAAAGCATTATTACTATTAGCATTATTATAGCTAACATAAATAGGGTGCATGTGTGGATGTATGTGCGTATGTGTGGTTAGATGTGGTTGTATGTAGCTTTTACCGTAGTTACTCTTTTAATCATTTGTTGTAAATATCATCTGCACATGGTATTCCTTCATCCTGCAGATGACGTAAACACCAGCAGTATCAGCTATGCATTGAATGCAGGAGCTCAGGTCATACCAACCTGGTATGTTGTTATCATTGTTATTTCAATTATATTTATTATTGTATATTATGTAACATCCATCATATTTGTAAATGTTTATAGTATTCATTTATATATCTGTGGAGTTGTCACGGTAACGTGTTGGCAACAGTAGTTATGATTAGTAATTATGTATTTGGATAAGTTAATTCACTTGTTATGTAGTAATGTGATTCCTGTCAATTGATTGTAAACTTATACTGCATTTTAACATGTTTCAGGCTAAAGCTTTTGTTTATTACATTCTTGTAATAAAAGTCCATCCGCCTCACACCCCAGTGGCTTTGTGGTTCTTGTCACAACAATAACTACATTCTGACGCTGCTACATTTTGGAGCCCCCAGTGAGGAACATGGACAGGACACCGCCATAGAAGTTCGGCCTACGTCAGCCACAGCAGATACAGTTACGACTACGATAGCCACGGACAAAGACGACAACGCCCACAACGTATTATCATCGTTCGGTGAATAGACTGAGATTGTTTTCATGTTGACGTGTGTGTATACGCATCATGGTGTGTGACCTCAACATATGGACACTTGTGTGACCTCAACATATGGACACTTGTGTGACCTTAACATATGGACACTTGTGTGACCTTGACCTCCCTGTGAAGTTCGGTCAGCTGCAGTTAATGTGATTTCATGCTATCCATGTATTGAATATTATTTCTGCATTTGTATATGACGATGCCTTAATTTCATTAACTTGTGGGTACCCCTTTAGTTTATTGCTCCGGAGCTAGTATATTATGTAATTTAAGTGTTTATATTCTACTGTGAATTTGTTTGTGTTGTCTTCAGTTAAGCATTAGTTAAGATTAGTTACTTTATTTAGTTGCATAAATTAATTATTAGTATCAGTTACACATCTGCTCTATACAACCACGATGTGTTTGTGTGTGTGAGTGTGTATTAGTTAGTGTAAGGTAATTAGTAATACTTTAGTAATCGGTAATTAGTTTAGTTTAGTTTAGTTTAGTTTACTTTAAGTTCCATATCTTAATAAACCTGTAGGTTTAGTTTGTTTTAGTTGGTTGTGTTCATAGTTTAGTGTTTTAGTATGTAGGTTCTCTTTGTGGTTTAGTTGTAGGGTTTTCTTTGCGTTCATTTATCCCTTTGGTTATTTCGTTCAGGTAATTAAGGGTTGTATTTCATTGTTCGCTTCTCATATCTTCATTTCATATTGCTTGGTGCTATTCTCTCTTTATGTAGCGTATCATATTTATAAGCCCCTGCGCGCGTACACCTGCAGTTTACTTACCTGCATTAGTTTATTATCTAAACACAAATTAAAGGTAACTCTAAACATGTAATTTATTTAAACTTATATTCGTTAAGGGTAAACTCCCATACCATTTAAGTAAATCAATGTAAACATTCATTAAATCCTACATCTAACGTATTCTCGCGTGCTTCACTGTGTGCTTTGAAATCTGTTTTGTTACAAATTCTTCACGGATTTACAGTTATCAAGTGTCGCGTGTTGTGTATTTTTCGCGGATTTCGTGTTTCATCTACTCATCAAGTTTTCTAGGTTGTGTATTACTCAGTTGTTTGTCATTTGTATATTCATATTTATTCTCCAACATGGCTGAAGCGGAAATGTCAGAAGAGGAGGTTAAACAACTTGTTTTGTCACTGAAGAAGTTGGATTTGAAACCCAAAGCTGATACACCTCAGGATCTCTTAGCGTGGATCTCATCAGTTAGCAAGTCGACTCAGGAACATAAACCCTCTATTCCACCCACAGTTACGCTAGCTAAGACGCCACAGCTTCCATACTTCTCGGGAGACAGGAAAGGAGACGTCGACTTCGACCAGTGGAAACATGAATACACATGTCTCTGTACAAGATATTCGGAGCAAGATGTCATGGACGCCGTACACAAATCACTTCGTGGGAAGGCAGCAAGAGTCGCCATGCACATTGATAAGGATGCTCCACTGGACTCTCTCATCGCCAAGCTGGACAGTGTCTTCGGGATGGTGCACACAGAACACAACATCATGGCCGAGTTCTATACTGCCAGGCAAGGAGAGGAGGAATCAGTTGCCGATTGGGAATGTAGACTTGAGGACATCTTGGATCAAGCCATCATGTTAGGAAAGGTGAAGCCAGGAGAAAGGGATGTCTTACTTCGCGACACTTTGTGGACTGGGCTTCGCTTGGACCTGAAGGACATGTCAAGTCATAGATATGATCAGGGAGGATCACTGGAAGTTTTTCTCAAGTACCTACGACAACTGGAACAGGATCTGCTACAGAGGCAACCAACAGCCAGGAGGTCCGCGACTAGTAAGTCGTCTGTAACTAAGGAGCAGTCGGAACTACAAGAGATCAAGGGCATGCTCAAGTCAATGTCAACTGAGATTAACAAGCTCAAGGAACAAGTCAAAAATGAGAGACCGCAAGTCACAGAACAAGGTCAATATAACCAATGGAGTCAAGGCCACAATCAAGGTCAAGGTCAGGAGTATGGTTACTTGCCACCCAGGAACTGGACACGCCCATCAAGGCCAAGAGGGAACAAGCCTTTCTGTCAAGGTCGAGGACGAGGCAACCCTACAGGTCGTGGAGATCCGGGATGGTTCCAAGGAGTTCAGGCCATGGATGACATTCCTAGATGTTTCCGATGTGGACAGCCAGGTCACATTCAGCGTGGATGTCGTGCACCACTTCAGGGCCAGGGAAACTTGCAGGGGCCTATGGGGAGGGGCGGACCATGGGCCTAGGATACAAGGTCAACACCCATCAACAGTTAGTGTCCGAGTTGGTAGGCGAACCAACTGAAACCAACATTATTGTTAATGGAATCAAGACCAAGGCTTTGCTTGACACTGGAGCTACGATCTCATCTATAGCTGAGGCATATTATCGACAGAACTTTCCTGATGTTCACCTAGAACCACTGAAGCAGCTTCTTCATGTCGAGTGCGCGGATGGAGAACTTCTACATTACAGTGGCGTCATTGTTGTTGATATAGAGGGATCTGGGAGTGCATCTACCAAGATACAGAGTATGCTACTTGTTGTGCCAGACAGCCAGTACAACAAGACAGTACCAATCACACTTGGGACCAACATCTTATCCATATACCTTAACCAGTGTCAGGACAAATTTGGATCAAGGTTTCTCCAGCAAGCAAATCTCCATACACCTTGGTATTTAGCCTTCAGGAGTATAGTGCTAAGAGAGAAAGAATTAGCCAAGAGGAACTACTCTATCGGTAAAGTTAGGAGCCAAGAGTCTGCTCGCAAGATAATCCCTGCCAACTCGGAAATTCATATCTCAGGTTATGTTGACCAGCCCCTACCATATCATGCTACTCATGTCATAGTTCATCCCACTACTGGATCACAGATACCAGATGACCTTGACATCACACCCACACTTGTCTCATACGATGGAAGTGGTCAGAAGCTTCATGTTGACGTACATGTATCTAACCTCACTACAAGAGCTATCAGCATTCCTTGCCACGCAATACTCTGTGAATTGCAAGTTGTCAAGTTGGAGGATGTACCAAGCTCTGCTTCCACTCAGGACTCTAGTGTACTTGACCTCATGGACTTCAACGATTCTGCCGTCTCAAGTGAGGAACTAGCACAAGGGAGACAAGTCATCACTGACTACTTGGATATCTTCTCTACCGGCGACACAGACCTAGGCCACACAGAAGCAGTCAGACACAGGATTGACCTCAAGGATGACATCCCATTCAAGCAACGTTACCGGCGCATACCACCCGCCATGTACGAAGAAGTCAAGGAGCACCTTAACCAACTTCTACTCTGTGGTGTCATCAGGCGTTCACGTTCCCCATGGTCATCCAACGTTGTCCTAGTTAGAAAGAAAACAGGGAAACTGCGTCTATGTGTGGATTTTCGCCAGCTCAACCAGCAAACTATTAAGGACAACTACGCAATTCCAAGGATTGAGGAGATGTTTGAGGCACTCTCTGGATCTCGGTATTACACTACGCTGGATATGAAGTCCGGGTATCACCAAGTGGAAATCGAGGAGACTCATAAGGAAAGAACCGCTTTTACAGTTGGACCCCTAGGCTTCTATGAGTACAACAGAATGCCCTTTGGACTTTGTAACAGCCCAGCCACGTATCAACGGCTCATGAACGAGTGTTTTGAAGGACTTCACCTGAAAATCTGCCTCATCTACCTAGACGATATTATCATCTTCTCATCATCATTTGAAGAGCAGCTGGATAGACTGAAGCAGGTATTTCAGCGAATTAGAGAAACTGGCCTCAAGCTCTCTCCTGACAAGTGTTCCTTCTTCAAGAAGAAAATCAAGTTCCTTGGCCACATCATTACAGAGGAAGGTATTATGGCGGATCCAGACAAGGTCGAGAGAGTACTGAATTGGCCACGACCATCAAGTCCAACAGAAGTACGACAGTTCCTTGGTTTTGCGGGCTACTACCGAAAATTTGTAAAAGACTTCGCCAAGATAGCCAAGCCACTCTCAGCACTGATGCCTCATGGGAAATCCAAGAAATCAAAGAAACCTTCAGGGGAACCATGGCACTGGGGGGAGGAACAAGAACAAGCTTTCAACCATCTAAAAGAAATGCTAACTTCACCGCCAGTCTTAGCGTACCCTAACTACGGGACACCATTTGAACTTCACACAGATGCCAGTGGAAAGGGAATCGGCGCTGTACTGTATCAGGAACAGAATGGTGTCAAGAAGGTAATCAGCTATGCAAGTCGAGGACTAGGGAAGTCTGAAAGAAACTACTCGGCACATCGTCTTGAATTCCTTGCACTCAAGTGGGCCGTATGTGAGAAGTTCCACGACTACCTGTATGGAGCGAAGTTTACTGTTCTCACAGACAACAACCCGCTGACTTACGTCCTTACAAGTGCCAAGTTGGATGCCACAGGCCACAGATGGCTAGCAGCACTTGGAGCCTATGACTTCAACATATTCTACAGACCGGGATTGAAGAACACGGATGCGGATACTTTGTCAAGGCTCCCAGAATACCAGCAGCTTTCCTCGGAACAGCTATCCATGGACTCAGTCAAGGCAATCTGTGGAGTTATTCATGCCCAGCCTTACGTGGAATCACTCTGCCTCTCAGCAGCATCGGTTGACGAAGAGATGTCCACCAAGTCAACAGATCTGAAAGGAATGACTGAGAGGGATTGGCGCATGGCCCAAGCCGAAGACTCTACTCTTAAGCCATGGATCCAAGCTGTCAGGATGAAGAGGAAGCCACACAGACAGGAATTTCCGAGCACGATGGCCAACACATCACTATTCAGGTCCTTCAACTCACTTGTACTCGAAAAAGGAATCCTACATCGGCGAATCAACATGGATGGAGAGACAAAATTACAACTTGTACTTCCATCAAGGTTCATCCATGATGCATTGCAAGGCCTTCATAACGACGTGGGACACCCAGGACGTGACAGAACTCTCTCACTGCTCAGGGACCGTTTCTACTGGCCAGGAATGCAAGCGGACACTGAAGACTGGATAAGAACCTGCAACAGATGCTTGAGGAGGAAGACACCAACCAACATCCGAGCTCCGTTAGTCTCCATCACTACCTCACAGCCTTTGGAATTAGTCTGCATGGACTTCCTTACGTTGGAGACTTCCAAGGGTGGATTCCAGCACATCCTAGTGATCACAGACCACTTTACAAGATATGCTTTGGCTGTCCCCACTAAGAATACAACTGCCAAGACCACAGCCGACGCATTTTACAAGCACTTCGTGATGCATTATGGTATGCCCATGAGGATCCACAGTGACCAAGGAGCCAACTTCATGAGCAGGATGATGAAAGAGCTCTGTGCTACACTCGGAATCGCCCAATCAAGGACTACTCCCTACCATCCTATGGGGAACGGCATGACCGAGCGTTACAACAGAACCTTGCTCAACATGTTGGGAACCCTCAAGCCAGAACAGAAACAAGACTGGAAATCATTTGTTGCACCTCTCGTCCATGCCTACAATGCCACAAGACATGAGTCCACGGGCTACTCCCCTTTCTATCTCATGTTCGGAAGGGAACCCAGACTACCAATTGATCTTGCCTTCGGAATAGAGCTAAACATGGAACATAACAGTTTGACCTCCTACGTTCAGGCTCTAAGGACAAGACTGGAGGAGTCCTACAAAATTGCAACCAGAGCATCTAAGGATTCCCAGGAGCATCAGAAGGCAGGTTATGATGTCAAGGTCAGGGGAGCTACATTACAGCCTGGAGAGCGTGTTCTGGTGAAGATCCTAGCTTTCGATGGCAAGCACAAACTTTCTGATAAGTGGGAAGAGGAGCCGTACATCGTTGTTTCTCAGCCTAACACGGACATCCCGGTGTTTGTTGTGAAGAAAGAACGAGGGGAAGGAAGGTCTCGGACCCTACATCGGAACCTGCTTCTACCCATCGGATCTTTGCCAGACGACTCTCAGAAGACCAAGCCTGTACCACCTAAACCAAAGCCAAGAAAAAGGTCGGCCAGGACAGTCACAGAACCAACAGAAACTAATGTGTCGGAGGAGGACGAAATAAGGTCAATTTCAAGCCTTCTAGTAGAACTTCCTACAGAGCCTGATGATTCCACAGTTGTCAGCGCACAATCTATGGAAGAGGATTCCATCTCCCAGTTGGATGGTGACGATCTGAAGACTGAGGAGATGGGCAGCGCATCTTCTGATGGTGACGGCCATCAGCCGGGGACTAGTGACGATCCCAGCACAGAGGATGTCTCTGTCAAGGAAGAAATGCTTGAGGATGAAGCAGAACTTCAGTTAGAGCCGAATCCAGAGGACCTAGCAGGAGAAGCCAGAACTCCTGACTCGCCTCCAGTCCGAACCAGACCTACACCTAAACCACCACCAAGGACTTCACGTCGTGAGAGGAGACCACCGGAATGGCAGCGCTCAGGGGATTACGTCATGAGCCAGACGACAATCAACGACTGGGACGATAGATCCGACCTAGTAGAGCGCTTGGCCTCAGCAGGTGTGTTCGAGCAATTTGGTGGTGCTATGTCACAGTTTGTTGTGAACCTTCTTCACTCAAGTAAATGACGGGGACGTCATTTGTGTGGAGGGGGAAGTATGTGGCAGATTCAACTTTGTATTGTATATAGTTGTAAATATAATAAACATGTGAATCTTTTAAAGTTGTGTGTCATTATGATGAGATATACAATCTCATTAAATAACCCAAGTCTAATCATTTTATCAATAATTTTATATTCAATATTTTATATCACACCTTTAGCCCTTCTAAACATCAATCTAATCTTAAATGTAATCTATTTCAGCAAAACTCATTTGCACTGCATGCTTTTCTCCCTGCAATCCCTTCTAAAGCTTGTCCCTTGCTCAGGCTAGTGTTTAATTTCTATTGTTCTCTGTTCAGCCAAGCGTATAAGGTATTAGGTATTTAAAGGTTAATTTCATCTAGTCTCTTGGTCAGTATCTTATGTGGTTGTCATCACGCATGTTGCGGTTTAGTCTTTCGGATCAAGATCATGGTGATCTGGACTGTGTTTTTCCATGTATATAAGGTTAGTAATCTCTAATCTTGTGTATATATTTATTGTGATTTTGTGTGTGATAGTTGATGGTTATATTGGCTATAGTTTAAAGTATGTTCAATCTCAGTATCCACTTTCTACTATGTGTAAATATTTGATGTGGTGGTAACTCACAGTATAGTGAGTTACGACATTGTTATTAGTGTAGGTTGTAACTCGCATTAGAGTGAGTTATCATACTGTTTTCATAGTTTAAGTTTTGACTCACAGAACAGTGAGTTGTGTAAGTGTTATATTATATATTTGTAGCATTACATATCATTAATTATTGTTCATCTAAGTATAATATTTAGCAATAATCTTATTTTCCATATTCCTATCACATTAAAGCATTATTATAGCTACCATAAATAGGGTGCGTGTGTGGATGTATGTGCGTATGTGTGGTTAGATGTGGTTGTATGTAGCTTTTACCGTAGTTACTCTTTTAATCATTTGTTGTAAATATCATCTGCACATGGTATTTCTTCATCCTGCAGATGACGTAAACACCAGCAGTATCACCTATGCATTGAATGCAAGAGCTCAGGTCATACCAACCTGGTATGTTGTTATCATTGTTATTTCAATTATATTTATTATTGTATATTATGTAACATCCATCATATTTGTAAATGTTTATAGTATTCATTTATATATCTGTGGAGTTGTCACGGTAACGTGTTGGCAACAGTAGTTATGATTAGTAATTATGTATTTGGATAAGTTAATTCACTTGTTATGTAGTAATGTGATTCCTGTCAATTGATTGTAAACTTATACTGCATTTTAACATGTTTCAGGCTAAAGCTTTTGTTTATTACATTCTTGTAATAAAAATCCATCCGCCTCACACCCCAGTGGCTTTGTGGTTCTTGTCACAACAATAACTACATTCTGACGCTGCGGGAAGACCTATTCTACCCCGGATCTTCACGGGTCAGGCGGATCATGAGTTTTAGTTCGTTTCCCTATTAAATTTCAGCGTTTATTCTAATTCAACCCTGAAAACGCCTAAGTAACTGTGTGTACACGGTTACACCTCGAATTCATTTGGACGAATTTCAATTCGCGGACACCTCTTGTCATCATTCATTTTCAGTGATCTATATACTTTCACTGCTTAGTTGCCCTTTACGCCCAATAGAATTTGTTTCGTTGGATTAGAGGGACTGCACATTCTTTGGCGTTAACATTTTATCATGAATATGGTGTATCTCATTGTCTAAATTGTAGTCGACACTGATTCTGGCACAGTGTGGGGTGTTGGGGTAGCCTAGTGGTTAAAGTGTTTGCTCGTCACGCTGAAGACCCGGGTTCGATTCACCTTATGGGTACAATGTGTGAAACACATTTCTTGTGTCCCCCACCGTGATATTGCTTGAATATTGCTAAAAGCAGCGTAAAACTGAACTCACTCATTCACTGTGGTACTCTATTTTGTTCGGGTATGTCGGATTTTGCGTATAAGCCCAAAGACTACGAGGATTTGAGACTGTTCCATGTTTCCTGATGGGGATGCAGAACAGCCATTATCATCAGTCGAAGTGGCGCACCTGTTGTGGCCTCCAATGTGGCTTCGTACAGCTTGTGTTACGGAAGGAGGGTTCATGTTCTGTGCGATTGTGTCGTGATCACAACAGATCTTTTATCTGTACTTGTGGAAAATGCCACTGTTTTACTATAAATACAGCGACAAGTTCTAGTCGATCACAAAACCCTTTGACAAGAGAGGTAAACTGTGTCTTTCATTTACTCTTTCCACCATCTTCTGTGGGGCAAGCGTTTCATTCAAATATCCATGTTGTCATTGTATATTTCAGCTCGGCTTCAGTTCATGCCTCTTAGTATATCATGATAAATGATATGTCTTTTTTTGTAGTTTTATCAGTGTCTCGGGGTTTGCCTTGCGACAAGTTTAGCTATACCACAGCAAAATGTAATTAATCTCTTACAGTAAACTGTATGCATCGGTATACAAAGATTCAATTCATATTTTCCTGGTATTTTGGATGAAGATAGCTCAATATAACATGATAAATTACGTATATTTCAGCTCGGCTTCAGTTCATGCCTCTTAGTATATCATGATAAACGATGTGTCCTTTTTGAATTTTCATCAGTGTCTGAGGTTTCGCCTTACGACACTTTTAGCTATACCACAGCAATACTGTAATTAAGCTCTTCCAGTAAGCTATGTGCATAGGCATGCAAAGATTCATTTTATATTCTCCTGGTATTTAGGATGAAGATAGCTCTGGTGTTTCTCCTGCTGGTGGTTGTCTTCGTAATCCAGGACACAGATTCCTGGAGAAGAAGGAGAAGAAGAAGGTGGTTCAGAGCTCCAAGAATACGCATCAGGAAGATATTCCGACCCGTCACTAAAGTCATAAAGAAGATAAGGCCGGTGTTGAAGAAAATTATCAAACCCATCGTCCAAGGAGTCAAGGCAGTTGTCAAGAGCCCATTTTGAAACCATTACAGGCAAAGAAGGTGTGTGCCCCGCTCCAGTGCCTAACTGGCCGAGACCCTAACTTGGCAGACCGGAGGACTGACAATTCTGTGGAAGAAAGAGGCACTGGAAAAGATCTGGAAGAACAGTCTGACAAGATGATGACAAGAAGAGCGCAAGAGATGGAGGACTGGTTGAGATGTACGACAAGGAGGGTCGAGTCTTGGAGGGTCTGAATGAGCTGGTGAATACCAAGCTGGGACGTGAGGGAACTTCACCAAGTCCTGCAGGATCCTGTCAGGTCAAAGAGGTTGTTGAAGTACGTGGGCAAGGCGCTGTGTGGAAAGACCGGCGGTAGCCAGGATGGAAAGTGAAGATGGCCAGGGTCCGGAAAAGGACGTTGATCAAGTTGTCACTGTCCCTTACACTGTCATTGAGTACGTGACAGCAGCTCCTGCCGGTGAGTGATTATGTAAATCGCGGCCAAAGGGGAAAAGAACATTATAGAGGCGTTATACGCATATGAGGTATCAATATTGATTTTGTCGATGACAAGTGTTCTCCATTCAAAGTTTAACCAACCAAACAAAGATAACGGCTGTGCAGTGTTTTCTACTTTCGATTTACATCTTAGACGTCATATGATATAAGGTCATCCGTAATGTGTTACTCATTTGAAACCTCAGCAAGGGAAGAGCGGGTTGGCGTCACAAATCAAATGATATAAAAATGTTTTAAACTATTCTTCACTAATTGTGTAACTATTTTGTGAGATTTTAAAATGTAGATCACGGCTACATGCAATGTTTTCGATTCACATCTAAAACATCATATTGATATTAGGTAATATATAATGTTGTATGCGATGCCCATGTAAGAAACAAAGACATGACAAAAGCGGACGATGCGTAAACAATAAATTAGTATATAGAATATTACAAAACTATTCTTCACTAATTGTATAACTTCTTTCAGATTTTTAAAATGTGGATCACGGCTACATGCAATTTTTTCTACTTTCGATTCACATCTAAAAACGTCATACTGATATAGGGCATCTGTGATGTTGTATGCAGTACTCATTTATTAACTTAGCCAGGAAGAGAGCGGGCGGTCGTAAAATGAATCATTGTGAAAATATTTTAACAATTATTCTTCACCAATTGTGTTTTAACATATTCTATGAGATTTCAAAACTTTAATCACTGGTTATAATTTTAAACTAATTTTTCATGAAGATCGAGTCATGTTGGTTCAGAAACATTTTTAATTACAGTTAAAAAAATATAAATCAAACTGACCTGGGATTTTTATGAGTGTGCGAGAGTAAGAGTTTTCTATTACATCAGGGCACAGATTTCGTTAGACGGTTAAAATAGAGATAAGAAATTTATTTTACAATTTCATGTCGGGGGTGAAAATACAGGGCCGCCATGCGTGGAGAGGAAACACATTCGAGAATATCATGTATATCCACGATAAACACATTTATATGCAAATTCAGTGGTAGGTGCTACCGGTAGAGCAGGACAACCTTTCCGTGGAACAACACATATTTTCAGTGACGCTTTAATATAGTTTCAACTACTTCGAACGTCATGGTAGAATCGATTTCCGCGCAGATATTGAGAGTGATTTTCTATCTGACTGTGACGCAAGCCATAGTGCCTAATCCACATTTTTGTAATCTCTGCCAGGCTTCTGTAATACACAACCTTTAAACAAGCAAATCTAGTTTTCTTAGGTTCAGTTTCTCAGTTTCCAAGGCCTATGAGACAGTTGGGGGTTTTTTTCAGTTTAAATGGAGTTATTTGGTACTATCAGAATTTTATAGTTTAGATAACATAGCGTTAGTCTATGTAAGCGAGTAATCGTTAGTTAACTATACTTACATTATAAATGTATTTTATAACTGTGAGTTAAACCATCCTTCCGAAACTGAAGATATAAATTTAATTTTGGATACTTTTTCAGGGTAGACCTCGAGAAGACTCCGTATAACCCACTCATCTGTACTGAGTATGATTGTCTCAATAAAAACAAGCAATGCATAAAAACGTGTTTCTTATTTCGTACAGTACAAAATGCTACTGACATAGTTCAAATGCCGAATGTCATTATATCCTACAAGATCGATGCTCATGCTGTTCATCACTGGATTGTCTGGTCCAGATTAGATTATTTTACAGGCAGCCGCCATATAGCTGGAATATTGCTGAGTGCAGCGTTAAAAAACAAAAAAACAACATATGCTTGTCGTATGAGGCGACTAACGGGATAAGCTGACCAGGCTCGCTCAGTTGGTTCATGCATGCCATCGTGTCCCCAGAGTACAGACCAATGCTCATGAGACCAATCACTGGATATTCTGGTTCAGACTGTTATTTGCAGACCGTCTTTATAGAGCTGGAGTATTGCTGAGTGCCGCTTAAAACAGCAAAGAAACAAACAATTGTAAATGATGTAATCAATTCACCAGACAACCAGGAAGTTGACTGTAATTACAGCCAGGGCTAGCACCACTACTCTTATAGTGTAACTCCTACAGAGAGTTATGGTTATTTGTTTGATGTTTACCGACGCCCCACCACTATTCTGGAGATAGGCGGACTGTAAAATCCAGTGGTTGATATTATGACCAAAGTTTCTACAGTGAGAGCGACGTTTCGGTGATGTTCACTTGCTCAATGAAGGTGTTAGAACCTACACAGAAACATCGCTCTCCCAGTAATAAAGAAGTTGGTCTTCCATATATTGTTATCCTTCCTAACTCACCCAGCTTCTAAATGCCTTTCAAAGAGGTTAAAGTTTCCCTTGTCTGAAAAAGAGACAAAATCCACGGTTTGAACGAGTGAGTGCGTGAGTAAGGTTTTACGCCGCTTTTAACAATTTCCCAGCAATATCACGGAGAAACCAGAACTGTTGTCTCCACAGATTTTCAAGCCCGATTTAGGTGAGTGTATGTCATCGTGCCCCCATGGCTTTTCTTAACGTGTCAGATACTGGACTGTCGGTGCACACTTGAGTTTATTGACCTCTTATATTGTTGAGTGTGACGTTAATCAGCACACAGATGGTCGGGAATCATCGTATGACGATTATTAACAAACAACTAACCACATCAAGAAAACGGAGGTACGTAACCTATCCAAACATCTAAACGCATTCCTTCCTTATGGAAACCGCCTCCGTGGTGTAGTGGTAAGAGCGTCCGCCCGGAGAGTGGAAGGTCGCGGGTTCGATCCCCGACCGCGTCATACCAAAAGACGTAAAAATATGGTACTTGTTGGTCCCCGTCTGGCGCTCGGCATTAATGGGTACAACAAGGACTGGTCGGCTCGGAGTCAGTATAATGTGTCTGAGTGGGGTATTCATGCTTCACTGCGGTATGGTATCTCAGTGGGCTAGCACTATAAAACCAGCTTCAGTCTGGGCTAGTACAAGCAGCCGCACATACACATACACACGCATGCACGTCGTCATATGAGCGAAATATTCTCAAGCACGACGTAAAACCCAATTTCACCTCACCTCACCTTCCTTGTGGAAGAAACACTGAACTATCTTATGTCAACGCAAACTTACATCCTGGCAACTTGTACATCTCAGAGAGACAGGTGCGATATTATGCTTCCTTTCAAAAGTTTAGACTCACTTAAAACACTCACTATAAACTGAATAATTATATATATATATATATGGTTACATTTCTGATTTCTCCACTAACTTGAGGAAACAACTACAAACCCTATGCAGATCAAAATTGCTGAAAAGCATTAATTTTGCAAATATCGTGTGAATAGGTGCGTTTTTGTGTAAAGTTTTGTTAAGAATTCGACAATTTTCACTGATCTTTATCATTTATTGAACTCATGACAATAATCTTTTCAACAGTACGAATGTGTTTACAATACATCAGTTCATTTGTAAACAGTACCTTTAAACAGTATGGAATATTAGCAAAATTTAGTATTCAACAGTTGCCTGAAGTAAGTGGTTATATTTACACTAGTGAGCCTAAACTTTTAAAAGGAAGACTACATCAGTAACACTAGACTGTCTCAAAATCCCTCAACCACAATATTTTCCCAAATGCCTATCCCTACCTGCAATGCTAAAGCCCATAAATGAAGCAAGTCTAGATTTCCTCAGGTTCAGAATTTTCACTGGGGTTCCTTTTCAGTTAAATGGGTTCATTTGTTACTATCAAAATTGTATTTATTCAGAGACTAAGCGTTAGTCTGAATTCCCCATCTCACTTGGGTTTCTTTTCAATTAAATGGGTTTATTTGTTACTGTGAACATTATATTTATTCAGAGACTAAGGTACCCACGTGTACCTGCCCATGAAGTACATGTACCGTGTCAGCACCAGCGACAGGTTTATCACCCCACACTGCAAGAAACTTTTAGCTTCAAATGTTCATTGGAAAAGATCACTTTAGATATTCGCTTACCTAAATACAGGCTAACACATTGAGATAATTATGGATTCCTGGAAGGGACATTGTCGCGTTGTCGCCCTCTCAAATACAAGCAAAATGAGGCAAAATTAACCAAAACGCGACACGCGACACGCGACATCGCGACAATGCGACAAATGGGCGAAATGTCGCGTTGTCGCGTTTTGGTTTATTTTGCCTCACTTTACTTTGTTTTGAGACGGCGACAATGCGACAACGCGTTGGGTGACAATGTCCTTCTCAGATTTCATAGATAATAGTATACAATTTATCAGTAATTATTGAGGAATGTAAAGAACAACACGTTTAAACACTCGTTGTTACGGTGTATCGGCAGGAGATAAAAACCATGGCGAAGAGGGAACAGAAACCGAGATAAACTGTTTTATCTGTCTTCCATACAGAACACTAGGAAACAACACGTGTCAACATCGTTGGGTGTTCCTATAGTTTCCAAGAACCTACGGCAGCGGACGTAAAATGTCACCCCCTGGCGTCATGCATGCGAAAAAGAGTTACTTTGTTTTTCATTAACGCCAAGTATTGATTTGTGTGGACGGTGTCACAGAACAGCTGTCTAAACTAGGAAGTATATGCTACAGTGGTAGTAGTAGTAGTAGTGGTAGTGGTAGTGGTAGTGGTAGTGGTAGTGGTAGTGGTAGTGGAAGTAGTGTGAGTGTGTGAGTTTAGTTTTACGCCGCACTCAGCTATATGGCGGTGGTCTGTAAACAATCGAGTCGAGACCAGACAATCCAATGATCAACAGCATGAGCATCGATCTGCGCAATTGGGAACCGATGACATGTGTCAACCAAGTCAGCGAGCCTGACCACCCGATACAGTTATGAGCCTCTTACGACAAGCATGGGTTACTGAAGATCAATATTCTAACCCGGACCTTCACGGGTCAGTAGTAGTAGTAGTAGTAGTAGTAGTAGTAGTAGTAGTAGTAGTAGTAGTAGTAGTAGTAGTAGTAGTAGTAGTAGTAGTAGTAGTAATGAATTGAGGAATGAGTTAGTGGACAGGCGACCGTCTTTGTATTTCTTACACTCAGTGACGTCGGCTTATATTAAGTCAAGGATTATATCGAACCATTATTTAGCAAGAAGAGGTGATACACAATTGTATGAAGAGAAGTTGCTTCTGATAAGACTTGCAAAATCAAATCAGGGAATTTACCTCAGAAGTGCATCATAGACATATAAGGTGTATTTATTATTACACTTTTAAGGATGACCTCAGGTCATTCACGAGAATCACCTGCTCACGTGACCTGTCAGAGTTTAATGATAGTTATGTTATGATAGATATGATATTAATATTGACTGTTTCTTATAAGTTCTTAAGTTTTTTAAAGTTTCTATTAGGAAACAGGTAGACATTCAGATGTGTTAATATGACCAAATTGATTTGAAGACAATTGAGAAGAAAAACATAAGGGCTGTAAACACTGCCATACACTGTGTATTGTTGAACACTGTTGACACTTTATTGTAATATGATGTTCGTGTAAGGCCTTCCATATGGTCGGACACTGTTGACACTTTATTGTAATATGATGTTCGTGTAAGGCCTTCCATATGGTTCAACACTGTTGACACTTTATTGTAATATGATGTTCGTGTAAGGCCTTCCAGATGGTTGAACACTGTTCACACTTTATTGTATGATGTTCGTGTAAGGCCCTCCATATGGTCGAACACTGTTAACACTTTATCGTAATATGATGTTCGTGTAAGGCCCTCCATATGGTCCGGACACTGTTGACACTTTATTGTAATATGATGTTCCGTGTAAGGCCCTCCATATGGTCTCCATATGGTCGGACACTGCCGACACTTTATTGTAATATGATGTTCGTGTAAGGCTATCCATATGGTTGAACACTGTTGACACTTTATTGTAATATGATGTTCGTGTAAGGCCCTCCATATGGTTGGACACTGTTGACACTTTATTGTATGATGTACGTGTAAGGCCTTCAACGTGTCGGACACTGTTGACACTTTATTGTATGATGTACGTGTAAGGCCTTCAACGTGTCGAACACTGTTGACACTGTATTCTATGATGTTCATGTAAGGCCTTCCATATGGTCGGACACTGATGACACTTGATTGTAATATGATGTTCGTGTAAGGCCTTCCACATGGTCGGACACTGTTGACACTTTATTGTAATATGATGTTCGTGTAAGGCCTTCCATATGGTCGGACACTGTTGACACTTTATTGTAATATGATGTTCGTGTAAGGCCTTCCATATGGTTCAACACTGTTGACACTTTATTGTAATATGATGTTCATGTAAGGCCTTCCATATGGTCGGACACTGTTGACACTTTATTGTAATAAGATGTTCGTATAAGGCCTTCCATATGGTTGAACACTGTTGACACTTTATTGTAATATGATGTTCGTGTAAGGCCTTCCATATGGTTGAACACTGTTGACACTTTATTGTAATATGATGTTCGTGTAAGGCCTTCCATATGGTCGGACACTGTTGACACTTTATTGTAATATGATGTTCGTGTAAGGCCTTCCATATGGTCAGACACTGTTGACACTTTATTGTAATATGATGTT